ATCACCCTTTCCTCCGGAAGAGGTTTTTTGTCAGCGTAACCATTTTAAAAAAGCGTTCTTCCAAAATTTATCCCAAAACTTGTTAGTTTCACTTTGATTTAAAAAAAGTAGGGTAACTGTTCGCAAAGAGTGCGTTTTTGTGAAGAGGGCGCCACCAAATTTTGAGGACACTTTTTTAATTGGCTCAAAGAGAGAAGTGGCCCATCTTGTTATGTACTATCATTGGTGTTAGTAGAGATAATTGTCTACTAAGTGTCCGACCTGAGTCACAAAAGACCTTAGTCAAACAGTGTGTCTTACATTTATTAGTTTTATTATAATTGAAATGATAAAAAACGAAGAAATGCCCAAACTCTCCCATGCATACAAATCCAACTGGTGACATCAGATTGAGTAACATCTCACTCTCATCCTGTCTTACAGGGCGTATTGATTGTCCACAGAAAATAGGATTATCAAGTTGCAACATAGAAAAGCGGTACTGATTAACACACAGTTTGACCCCAAACAAAATCATTCACTTGTATAACACTTAAGTATCAGTTAGATCTTTCTCTTTACAGCTCTCGCCCCCACCCCCCATCTCCTCCAAGAAACACTTGAGTGATGAAGGAAGCAGGTGATAAAAACCAGTTATTACTCCTTGGATAGCACTACCATTAACACTTTCTCTGTTTCTTTTTTTCTTTCTCTCTCTCTCTCTCTCTTTCTCCTGTTTCTTTTTCTTAGAATTTCCTTTTCTCTGTCCCACCCCCCACCCCCTCTTTCTCTCTCTGTTTGTCTGTTTATCTGTCTCCCCATATTTATTTATATATGCCTGACCCTCTTTCTCCCTCTGTTTCTATTTCTTTGAAATACCTCCCCCACCTCTGTCTCTATCTAACTTTCTCTCTATCCCTCTCTCTGTATCTCACACACACACACACATGAATATTAGACGTGTGAACCCTCACCCCTGATAAGATCCACATCAATGTACTCTGTCTTGAGACGCACGCTCTTCCTTGGGGCGTTGTGCAAGTAGGGAGCCTGCAGTATAATGATAATGATAATAACAAAAATGATAATAATAGCAATGACGAAAAAGATGATGATGATGATAATGAAGATGATGATGATAATAATAACAGCAACAAAGATAATAATAATAATAATTCACTTGTATTGTGCATTTCCCCAAAGAAAGTGCTAGATCAATCCACTCAACAAAAATACAGAGAACAAAATGAACTGGCATAATTGGAGCAGTGATTAGAAGCTTTGCCGTTGCACGCAGGAGACCCGAGTTTGATTTCCAAGTGGGGAGAACTTATATCGAGTATCTCGGTCTTTCTTCTGGAATGATCTATCCTACTCAGCCTAGATTGGCCTTGACAAGCAGGGTTGGAAGACCACCTACTAAAATATGATCTGAATTGTTTGAAGCAGGCATAAAATCACCAATTTTATTATTTAAAAAAAGATTAGGTCATCTAAGTGCCAAAGATTAGAGGTAATACAAGAGAGTAACATATACATAAAAGAAGGTGGGGAGACAAGGACCATAGAGATGTTTGACAGGAAAGGAGGAGCAAACCACACCAGAGCACTCGCCAACTGACCACAGGTTTTATTTAAAGATAAGCGGTGTCTGATACCTTTAATTAAGCTTCACATATTATAACTGAAACTTTGGGAAACAGTCAAAACGAACAACTTTAAAAAAATTTTTAAAAAAAAAAGGGTTCTCATGGTGGGTATAATCAGAGGAATCAGCAACAGTGAAACCATTCTGAAACTTTTTAGTTCTAGTAAGAGTTTTATGGCACTTGCAACACAATACAGTGATATAAGTGCCCAAAGTTAGAGATGTTACAAGAAAGTAACAAACACAAAAAAGAAGGAGGAGAAATTTGGATAAGAATGATAGATGTTTGGTAGGATAGAAGGAGCAAACTACACCAGAGCATCATCCAACCACTGTTTCTATTTCAAGGAAAGTGGTATGTCATATCTTTAATCAAGCAATGAAACAAAAGTCAACAGGAAAACGAAAAACTATTTTTTGATAAAAGGTACATGTTGGATGTATAGTGAGAGGAATCAGCAGTAGTCAAACCATTCTGAAACTAATAAAAATCTACAACAAACAGTGACTATGACATCAAAAACAATGTTGTAAAATACCACACAGGAACTCACATTCTGAAGCTTTTTCTCGACAGACTGTTCCCACAACTGTTTGTCGTAAGATCCAATCTGGGGAAATACGTTCGTCAAGTTTCAGTAAGAGATTTACGCCACTTGCAGCACAATACGGTCATAATATAGTTTTAGTATTAGTTTTACGGCACTTGCAGCACAATAAGGTCATACAAGTGCCGAAGATTAGAGGTGTTATAAGAGAGTAACAAACACAGAAAAGAAGTAGGAGAGATCAGGACGATAGATGTCTGGAAGGAAAGAAGGAGCAAACCACGCCAGAGCAACCGCCAACCACCCGCGGTCATATAGAGAGAGGACAGATTAAGGATGATAGACGTAACAAAAAAAAAAAGGTACAGGTTTAACGTCCCTATCAATTTATGGGGCGATTGATAGATGTTTGATAGCCTGGAAAGAAGGAACAAACAAACCACACTAGAGCACCCGCCAACCACCCGTCAAATATGTACGTGAAGTTTCTCCTAGTTCAGCAAAGGACAAGCCCATCGATGCAATTGCAGACTCCGATAAAAACAACAGTCGAAAGGAAAGTTTTAGTTTTAGTATTAGTTTTACGGCACTTGCAGCACAATAAGGTCATATAAGTGCCGAAGATTAGAGGTGTTATAAGAGAGTAACAAACACATAAAAGAAGTAGGGGAGATCAGGACGATAGATGTCTGGAAGGAAAGAAGGAGCAAACCACGCCAGAGCAACCGCCAACCACCCGCGGTCATATAGAGAGAGGACAGATTAAGGATGATAGACGTAACAAAAAAAAAAGGTAGGCTACAGGTTTAACGTCCCTATCAATTTATGGGGCGGTTGATAGACAGCAAAGGACAAGCCCATCGATGCAATTGCAGTCTCCGATAAAAACAACAGTCGAAAGAAAAGTTTTAGTTTTAGTAAGTGTTTTACGGCACTTGCAACACAATAAGGCGATATAAGTGCCGTTACAAGAGAGTAACAAACATAAAAAAGGAGGAGGGATATGGACGACAGATGTCTGATAGGAAAGAAGAAGCAAACCATACCAGAACACCCGCCAACCACCCACTGTTATTGTACAGAGAAGCACATGCACACAATAACGGTGATACAAATATAAAAACGAAGGAGGAGGAGGTAGAGAGTTGAGGATGATAGATGACGTTTCATAGAAAAGGAGGAGGGAACTAAAAAAGGACAAGGAAAGTCGTGTCCTCTAACCATCCTCGTAATCTGTTAAAAAAAAAATCTCCAACCAAGAGATACACAAACGTAAAATTAAAAGTTAAACTTTAGGTAACGTTTAGATAATTTAGAGCTAATCAGCAATACGGATGCCTGGATATACCGAAACAACACCCCCCACCCCCCGGAACATTGACAACAATACAAGTAGACAGCACGTGTACAGTGCAAATTCCCGCTCAACAGCAATCTCAGTGGGTGCGCTTTACAGCTTGTATTAGCACCCCAGTTGACCTGATATTCTGAAACAATCTTAACTTCCTGGGAAGCACACAGTGCAAGCTGCCATTTATAGGCGCTAAAACACAAAGAACTTACAAGATCTTTCGCTGTCTATGGCTAGGTACCCATTCCCATCGAGTGAAGTGAAGAAAATTCGATTAAAGTGCCTTTCTCTCTATGCTGCCTTGCGACCCCCCTCCCCCCTCTCTCCCTCTCTCCACACACATACACACACACACTCTCTCTCTCTCTCTCACACACACACACACACACACACACAAACACACACTCACCTTTTTCTGATACCAAGCTATGGCATCGTGGACCGTGTCCATCCCTCGCTGACCCTAACACTGGAGGTCAGCCACGTTCCTCCGCCCTTGACCCCTGACCTTTGGGAGGATGGTCGACTCACGACTCCGGAATGAACAACAAAAAATTCACCGGAGGAGAAACAGCGACAGAATTTCTTCCTCCAACGAGCAGGAGCCGACGATAAAAACACACACACACACACACAGCGAATCCAAACGAATGAATGAGACTAGCCTTGTCCGTTCTTCCGAAGGGAAATGATAAAAACACACACACACAGGCCGAACCCAAACGAAAGAATCAGTTCGTCAGTTCAGCGGCGGCGAAATAAAACCAAAAACCAACACCCCCACACACAAAACGAATCCAGCGAATCCAATATTCGACCAGTCTTCTTGGTTTTTCTGTTACAGCTTGCACCCACCCACAAACACACACACGCACACGCACAGGGGCACAGCAGTCGGGGGTTACGCCCTTTAAACCAGGCAGGAGGGCGGTTGGAGGGTGACAGGCACAGCAACACACGGCCACAGGTATCGGCACCGGTTCCTCTTGCCCGCTTCCCTTCTGTCTGTGACGTCAGTGGACGATGACGACACCTCCGAGTGACGTAACAGAGTACAGAACGACGGCCAGCTCCCTTTTTACATGACCGCTACCACAATGTTACTTCGTCTGATCAGTTCTGAAAAACAATGGAAAAGGGAACCGTGTTAGAAAAAAACCCAAAACAAATAAAACCCACAAACAAAACCGATATTCTGCATCTAACCTGCGTACCGAAGACTGTCTCAAGTCTCCAGAGTGAGCAAAGAGATGTACGTCGACACAGTTACGGCTATCTACAACCATGCTGATGGGCCTGGATACACGCATATATTATATAT